CCTGGGAGCTGGAGCATGAAATCACTACAGCACTACCAGACCAGAGATACTACAGTTCTGATTCCCACAAAGAGGAAGAGACTGAGCTGAGAAAAAAAATTTCAAAGTTCAACTAAGTATTTGGCAATAGACAGGATAGATGATAAGCTGTGGAGAGGTTATCAGTTTCAAAGCTTGTGCCAACATTAGCAATATGGTGATACCAACCTGTTAGCTGAATGGAACATATTCTAGTAATGTCACACATGGTTTCCACAGAAGAATGACCCTATACTGTGCTTACCCAAAACAAATCCTGTGTCAGTACTGATATAAATCGGATTGGGAGAAGCCATGGAGGACCCCAAATCGGTGGACTTCCACTCTTCTATTTCCTCTCTAATTTCATTCAGTCTCTTTGTCTCTGTCAGCAAAGTCTCTGCATTTTCCAATGGATGTGTGCAGTACACAGCCCTTACTCAAAGCACTTGCAATTGGAGGCTGATTTGAGGATGCTGTGAAGACCAATAGACCAATAGCATCACTGAATACCTGGCTAACCACACACTGAGCTCCAAGGCAGAAGACTAGATTGCTTCTTGTCCTTGTAGCAATAGTGGCTGTTTTTCAGAGTTCATCTCTCCTTGAGAAAAAATGTTTTTGACTTCCCACTGCCCCATCAGAGTGACTGTTTACCCACTCCCAGAATACCCATCAGGGAACCCTGTCTGAGGTATCTCTGTGTCTGTTTGTGCAGGTGCCACAGTGAAGCCATGGATGAAGAAGAAATGACTGCACACTATTTTCCAAGAGCCATGGAAGAAGAAACCTAAGAACTGGTCATCTATCTATTATTCTCATTATCATTATTTCTTTTGAGATCAGTGGTAGACTAGCATGGGGAGACAGAAAGGACAGAGAATGAGGCATACATTTAATAAAGGGTATGAAGGGAGCTTTGCTTGAGATCTCTTGGTTTTCTAAAAGGCTGATAGACAATTCCTGGTGTATCAGAATCCATTGTTGTTGTCTGACCTCCATGGAGGATTGGTTCTGACTAAAAAGGTAGAAGAAGCATGGGTAAACTTGATGGTAGACTATGTAGAGAAGGGGTGTGGAAAGAGTCATCCAATCACTTTACGGGGAGTAGGGGGGGGGGAGATGGTGAAGACCCAGATGACAAGTTATATCCATCAAAACCATTGTCATGCTGGAATAGCAGTGTACACGGGTATTTCCAGCATGCTGGATGCTAAATCAGAAAGATCATGAATTCAAGGCTGTCCTGGGCGGTTGAGTAAGACCCTGTAGTGGTTTGAAAGAAAACGGCCCCCAAAGGGAGTGGTACTAGTAGGAGATATGGCTTTGTTGGAGTAGATGTGGTCTTGTTAGAGGAATGTGTCACTGTGGACACGGGCTTTGAGGTCCCATATATGCTCAGGCCATGCCCAGTGAGACAGATTACTTCCTGTTGACTGCCTATCAAGATGAAGGGCTCTCAACTCCAGCACTGTGTCTGCCTACATGCTACCATGTTACACCATGATAATGGACTAAACCTCTGAAAATGTAAGCCACCCCAAATAAATGTTTTTCCTTTATAAGAGTTGCCATGGTCATGGTGTCTCTTCACAGCAATAGAAATCCTAACTAAGACAGACCCTGTCTGTAAAAGACCAAAAAGAGAAGAAAAATAAAAAGAAAGGAAGGAAGGAAGAAAGAAAGAAAGAAAAATTGCTATCACAATGAAGACAATGGTTTCTACTCCTAGATCTCTCAATACCCAGTGCTGGGCCCTTTTTCAATAATCCAAACTTCTCTAAAAACTAAGTATTTTAAAAATGAATTGTTTTCAGTGATTTTTGACCTATTTTCCCTGATTTAGAATTGTAATTGTAAGGACATAAAAGCTACTAAAAGTGTCTGTCTGCCAAGTATGATATATAGAGTATGGAGCAGTGAGTATAATCTCTAACAAGTGAGGAGAAGTCCACCCCTTTTCAGAGCACACATTTGTGGCAGGAATTAACATGGAACGTAAGGAGCTATCAAATGACTCTTCCATCTGGATACTGATTTGAATGGAGGCATAGGTGAAATCAATGTGTGGCGCATATGCAAAGAAGGATCTAGCCGAGAAGAAGGGTGAATGCAAGTGACCGCATCCGTACAAACTATGGACTGGTCAGGTGACGCCCCAGGGCTCAGGAACCCTTTAATTTTCCTGCTGGGTTTTAGGTCCATTTCCTTATTGCTGTGTACTTGTACATAAAACTGGGTCTTGTAAGAAAGAATTCCTTTTAAGAGTGTATCATGCATTTTACCCATATTCACCTCCCAAGAACCTCCCCTTTCTTCCTCTTGCCCAACCCCTGCTCCTTTCTCCAGCTTCCCTTCTGATCTCATCTCCTCCCCCTACACACACACACACACACACACACACACACACACACAC